TCCCGTGCAAGGCGTTGCGAGCGCCGCGCGGAGCCCGCCAGCGCGCTGGACGGCCGGGACTTTAGCCTCCTCTTAAAGACTGTTCCTACCAGAAGGAGAAAACCTGCCCCCCCCCCTCCCTTGCTTCTCCTTTAAATGGGAGCAGGGACTCGGGTGTAATGTGTGTTTTACTTTTATTTGTCCCTAAACACCCCCAATTTTTATTTTATGACAATTTTTGGAAGTGTAACAGAAATAGGCAGTTTTGCTTGAACCATTTGCAGCTCCTTTCTTCAAACTTCCTCGCAAGAAAACCAGTCAAGTTGCATGGGAGGTGGTTCTTGGGGTTGATATCAAATAAACTAAGTGTAAGGATGATGTTAAACACCAATGACCTCACTTCAATCCATTTCATACTTTCCCGCTCAGAGGTTTTGGAAGAAAGGTCTTTAAAATTTAGTTTAGACACCTTCCACATGTTATCAAATTATTTTCTAGGTCTTAAAATTAAGTTTAAGGTAAACACTAAAAAATATCAAATAACTGTGACGGGTATTTTTGTTTTAAGGAAAGCGAGCCAAATACCGTATTCCAGAAAGCACTTTTTTTTATGCTAATTGAAAAAATTAGCAACCAAATCAGGTAATATTAGTAAAAACCCATGTGATAAAAACATGAATTAGTTTTTGTTGTTTCGCCTTCCCCTCCTCAACTACTATGTCATGGAGAAATTTGTCAGAACACTGTTGTGGATGGTTCTTGATCGTGACTCTAACTTGAAGATGTTGGACCGTAGGTACTTTTGGTCAGGAGGCGGTAGGAGAATAAGCAGCGCAAGGCAGGGTGACGTGACAATAGCAACTGGTTTATTGGACCTTCGTACAGGTGTATTTATAAGACTTGACAGACGACACTCGACAGTGTTACCAACGTATGATTAATACACAACAAACACAAACATTTCAGTGAAGTTAATAAGGAGGTCAAAAATAATAACTTGCACCTTAATAATTTAAAAATTTGTAAAAGAAAATGAAAGACAGATATAACAGTAAACAGTAACTGTTTTACTCCTGATCGGCTGTCACTCAGGAAAAGTCAATTTCAAGCAATGAAAATTGATTAAGGGATAATGTTATCAGTAGACTATACTCTTTTACATTGATTACGAAACCATTAGAAAGTCATGACTTGTCGAGGTCGTGGTTCGTCGGTCGGGCGCCCCGCCGCCGAGCGCGGATGTGTTGCATGACTGCCTACCCCGGGCTCGTCGGGCGCCCCGGCGGAACCAAACAGCCGCTATGGCACTATGGGATGGGCCCACCTCTCCCGCGCGTGGCCCGCGAGAGAACAACAAACAAACAAGGGGCGCGTGTTGACTCGATGCAGAGTCAAGAGAGGGATCCGCGAGCAAAAGGGGGGAGGGATTAGCGGGATCACGGCGCTCTCACGCTAGTGCAAAAGGAAGACAGTCAACGACCGCAAAAAAGAAAAACCGAAGAAAAGAGGATCGGGGACTGTATGCAGTGGCAGTGCGGAGTTGCGGGCCGATGGCAACCGGCATCGGAAGCACCGCGCTCGGTCCCTGATCCTCCTCGCGGGATCCCTGTATAATCCCGCTTGATAGCCCTCAAGGCGAAGGGCTCGAGCGACACGCTCCGCTCCGCTCTTTCTCGGTTTGGTCCTGTAAATCGCCGAGTACTAATAGTTTTCGCCGCCCGCGCCCGTCGCGACTCGCGCCCCACAAGATTAGCGCGGCGCATCCCGATAGGGGGCGGCGGCACATCAAAAGCGGCCCGGCCGGCACTCCTGTCGGTGGGAGCGCGGGCAATAGGTGGTCGCGGTGGTATACACTGTGGTACACTGTGCAGCAAAACAAGAGGCCATTCCGAAAATGTAAAATCGAGACCTCCTACTGTCACTGTGACAAAAAAAAAATTGTTCTAAGGGTTCACTGAAAGATTTTCCATAATGTGTGTCGTAAAATTTGCGATTGTAAATTTACAATCGTACAGTATCAACTTGGAATAATCAGAATGGGCTATCAAAAATAATATATTTTGCAAATAAAAACTACAATAAACGTTGTAAGCCTAGTTTAAACTTTCATCATAAGTTGTTTGAGCGTCGTCAGAGAATCGCCGAAAAAGGGAACCCCACGACATCGACCCAACGACAGAGTGAACCCACACGAATTATTCACACTCGCCGAGTAGGATGGGCTGCCTGGGCTCCCGGCGGACGCAGGCCCGTGGGCGGGGACAGCCGCCTCGGCAGCCGCGCCGCCTGTCGGCCGGGCAACCCAACGGCCACCGCTCCACCGCTCCAAAGCGCCCGTAAACGACAGGTGCGAGTGAGATAGAGGTACGGTCCGGTTCGAGCATCTCGCTCGCACACCTCACTTGTCGTTTTTGAACGCGCTACGCAGCCGGTATGTAAGTATACGGGGATCGCGCTCAAACCACCTCGTGATTTTCGGGGGAAGGGAAGTCCAAATATTTTGGGGTCAGAAAAGGGTCAGGATCGTCATTGGAGTTCGTAGGATCCGATGATATTTTTACCCCATGGGGTACAACCCTGCAGGGTACAAATATCATGAGGCCGCTGTGGACTCCAATAATGACCGTTCTTTAACTCTTAGGACGCCCACAATTTTAGCACCCCCCCCCCCCCCCCCGAAAGCCACGTGAGTTCAGCGCGATTCCCCGCGACCCTAATGGGACTCCGGCGCCGAGTCCAAAGGATAGCAATTAGCGCCTCTGCCTCTAAATCTCATCCCGTGCCGTCAATCAGTTTCAGCTTCTCTCTGTGTGTTGCCGACGACAGAGTCCGGCTTTGCGGCAGTTAGGTGCAAACCTTAAATAAACTTATCACGCCTTATTGAAATTATTGTAAATTCACCCGGCAAAAAAATAATCTAAAAATAAATCAACTTAAAAGATTGCAGAGTAGACACATTCCGGAAGGTTTCGGCGGCGAGGGTACCGTTAACGACATGCCCTTGGGGCTCTGGAGGCGCAATCGACCCTATGCCCTTCTTTCAACCTCGCGCCTCTCTGTCGCTCTCTCCGTCCCTCACTCTTTCTCTCTCGCTCACCGTGCCCTGAGCCTTCCTCTCTCTCCGACAGTAGGTCGTTATATAAGGGGATCACAACCGGTCCTGCGGATAAGAGCCTGTTCGGACGGTAGCCCCCGCCCCGCCCCGCCCCACCGCGGCGAGGCACCCAAGTTCAAGAGCACGGCCGGTCGCTGCCGGACGCGCCCCCCAGGAGCCACGCCCCACACAATGATATAACCCCACCACCAACCACCACGCACGCCCCAAAAGCCGTCTATTTCGCATCACTGACAAAAACTAGAGGTCACCACCACCACTACGACCGCTACGACCGCGCGTCGGCGTCGTCAGTCAGCTGAGCGAGCCACAGCGGCCACAGCTGCGCAGCTGCGCCTCCCCGGGGCGCACCCACCCACCCACCGGCAGGGGGCAGGGGGCACTGACTTGTAGAAAGTGAGCAGGGGTGGGGGGGTCGCCCTTGGCGATCGAGTAGTGTCACTTCCGTGCATCGCCTGCTGCCGCAGCGCGTGGCACCTCTCTGCCGGCCGGGCGGGCAGCTGCAGCAGCTGGGTGCAGCTAGCTGCGGGCCGCCTCTGGACGCAGCTCACAGCTGGGCGCAGCCGCGGGTGCTGCCGGGCGCAGCTTCCGACTGCAGCGGCAGCTGCCCCGCGCCGCCGGCCGAGCGCACCACCGACACTACCTGCTTCGCCTGCTCGTCAGTTATATGTCTTCCTGATGGGCGGCGACGCGACGCGCCACGCACTGGGGTCGCCGCCCGCGCCCGCCTCCACCGGCGGCGCCACGCGGGGCGAGTAACGGCGCGTGAGGGCAGGGTGAATAACGCGTCACGATGGCGCGAATAACGCGGAGACAACGCAAATAACGCAAAACCGGGAGGGCGCGAAGAACGCAAACGGAAAGTCACATGGGCGCGAATGATGCAAAAACGCGAGATAGCGCAAAATAGCGCCAAGTGACGAGAGCCCGAATAACGCAAAAGTCACGAGGGCGAATGACGCGAATAACGCAGAACAGTGACGGCGTGAATATCGGCGCCAGGTGACCCGTCCCGGAGTCCGGAGCAGCAGCCAGTAACGTAGCGGAGGCACTGATCCTGTTTCCACCCCCCCTCCCCTCTCAACTGCCGCTAAAGATGCACTTACACGGCCAGTAACGGCGCGATGATGGCTGTGTTTGCTGTGCTCTCACTGACGTCAGGTTCGCAACAACGACGATTCGGTTAAAAATCAAACGCGTCACACGACACGGGCGGAATGGAATCCGGACGCATCTTTGATGGCGCTATTTGGACTGCACCAAAGACAGACGTTTCTCACAAGAAACAAACACACAAACAGAACAACAGTTCATAGGAATCGGATAGACGGTGGTGGCGTCGAGGCGGATAAACAAAAACATTAATTAATGCGACGAATGTGTACTTTCCGTTTCCTATACTCTTTTTTCGCAGCCCGTTTGTTCGCATTTAGTTTTCTCACCACTGTGACGACGGCATCCTACAACACAACTCCCATCGTCCGATCATCATCTCGGAAGAACCGAGTGCTCCGTCAGCACAGCAGGTACTTGTTGTGCGGGTCCGGGGTGCACGAGCGGGACTGAGTATCGACCCGAGCTGCAGAGCAGGTACGGCGCGCCCCGTAGCAATTTTATTGGTTTCCCTCAGCCATTAAATTATCGGGAGGCTGGCGGAAACTGCCGCAGCGCCATCCGTATTC